GTGTAATATATACATTTAGTTAATTTGGTTGTTTTCATATTGCCACAATCAGTGGATTTTGGTCTCCACAGTGTCAGGGGAATCCATTTTTCTTTTCTGGCATCTTTTGGCATAGCCAGTTTTGTTTCTGAGTTCCACAGGATTTCTCCAAACAAGCTATTTGTGTGAAATGTTTCGGGAATATTGTGAAGTGGAGGTATTTTGAAGACACAAATGGTAGGGTGTTTGTTCTGATGATGTGAATTCCCACCCCCATGTATCAGCATCCATTCCAGCCTTTATTTCAGTGAGTGTTGATGTAGAAAAAATATATTCACTTTCTTTGAACCTCATTCTAGCATGTTAATGATCTTGATCAAAGTATATACATGAAATATCACTTATTCATTTAGGATCTATGCCCACCATTTGGAGCTTATCTTTTCCATCACCTTAGAAATAAGCCTTTCCTGCTTGGACATGATGGGATTTTCTGATTTTACTAGAAAACGTTAGGTCAGAAATATCTCCTTGCAATGTGTTCATGGAGGAACTGTGTTTAGTTGCAGCTTTGGCTGATGCCCAACTTGGACAAGTCTTCAACATCTCCACAGATCATTCAGAGCCAAGTCTGCTCTTTTCAAATTAAGTTAACATTTCTGCTTTAAAAGTCTTTCAATTTTTGAATTGCGTTTTCAGATACACTTATAGTAAATTACATTTATAGTGAGATCCCACAGTTTCTTGGAGCTGGTACAAGTCTAGTCCATCTTGTGATGATGAGCAGGAGCCAAACACAGCCATACTTTCATTGTGTTAATCAGTACACCAGAGTTCCAAGACATAAAATATGTGGAAAACCTAAATGGCTAATGCTTTACAGCAACCTTATACTGTAATACTGTACAGTGCAAATAACTACAGTCAACCCATCCACACCCTGAAAATATAAAAATAAAATCCATAAAGCAAATGTGATGTTGCCATTTTATATAAGAAACACCATTTTACTGTGTTGTTGTATATAATGAAGCTTGAGCATCCATGGATTTTGGAATCCACAGGGGGTCCTGGAACCTAATCCCAGTGGATAGCAAGGGTCCACTGTAAGTCATTGCACAGTAGCTAAGGAATAGAAGTTGTTCTTCCTTTTATAATATTTTTGCTAATTAAGTTAAGAGGACAAGTGTAATTTACTGTTACTGTTACTTCTGTTACTGTGTGTGTATGGGTCTTCAAGTTTCCTGTTGGCTCATGGTACTCCTATGAATTTCATACAGCTTTCTTAGGCAAGGAAAATTCAAATACAGCTTTGCCCATTCCTTCTTCTGAAATGTAACCTACAGCACCTTGTATTTGTTGGAAGTCTCTCATCCAAGTCCTCACCAGAGCTAATGGCTTAGCTTGTAAGAGCAATGGCATCTGGTATATTTAGGGTATTCAACCCACTACACTATTCCTACTTTGGGTTGTTGTAGGTTTTTTTGGGCTACATGGCCATGTTCTAGAAGCATTCACTATTCCTACTTTTCCATAACCTTGGGATTCAATATGACATACAGAAGTTAAAATAGTTTTAAGTAAAAGGTTGTATCACTAAATTACAAGCTCTCAATACAATTAAAATCTTTTTAAATTAAAATGTTTATATCCCATATTTTCATGTAATAGTGTACAGATAAAATGTCTTAAAACTATTTGAGATGAAATTCATACTATACCCAAAGCAGGATAAAAACATCTTAAATATAACAATAAGCTAATATAGCTTTTAAAGCTACAATAGTTTAAAACATGTGCATGCACAATTAAACAAAATTAAGCCACAAAGTTTAATATAATGCTATGTCTTGATTTGGCACCAAAAATAAGCATATGCTAGCAGTAGTTGGACCTCTAAGTCAAGGTTATTCTATAATTTGGATACACCTCTCCCACGTTCTTCCACATCATGTTGTCCCTACTGTTGGGACATAGTCCCTGGACAGAGATATGCAGGGAGTGTTACTCCTTTAGGTATTGAGATCCCAAGTCTTTCGGTCTTCAAATGTCATCACTGGTACCTTGAATTCAGACCTGAAGTTAATTGGCAGACAATTAAAAAACATCGCCATTAAAAAAGACAGAACAATGCATCACATTATTAAAAAAAAATCTCCATCAACATTCAATTCCTAAAGGCCTATGAAAACAAACAAAACAATCAAATCTTTGCCTATTGGTAGAAGGACACCATAAGAGGTCACCTTTCTAGAAAGGAAGTACTAGAGCCTAGGAACAGCCAGAAAGAAGGCCCTATCCTGTGCTCCCAATGGGCTTACATAAGGGTGGCGAGACAAAAACAAGAACCTTTTTGAAGATCTCAAAATTCAGACAGGCCAATCCAGGTGAACATTTTCCTTCAGATAACCTGGATACAAGCTATAGTTATAGACCATAGTCAGGACATTTAATTGTGCCCTGAATAATCAGTCCAACTGTAGTAGTAAGGGAAATCTCTGCTCCCTGTAACTAGCCCTAGGTAGTCCTTTGTATTCATGGATTCAACCCTCAGTGGCTTGAAAATATTAAAAAAGAAAAATTCAAAAGAAGCTTGATTTTGTTATTTTATATGAGGGATATCATTGTGCTACACCACTATATATAATGGGACTTGAACTTCCACAGATTTTGGTATCTATGGGGGTTGGAATCAAATCCCAGTGGCTACCAAAGGTCTGCAGCTTTTTGGGCCTGCTGACATTTCCAAATACTTTTCAAAGTAGTCCCAAATAGAGTAACTGCCAAAACTAAGACCTTCATCCAAATCAGACATCTCTAGGGAAAGGGAGGGTGCAAGTGATGCATAACCCTTAACTGTACAAAAGCACTTCTGGCATGGGTGAACATTGGCTCTCCAGGTGTTTTGAACTTCAACTCCCACAATTCTTAACAGCCGGTAGGTTGTTAGGAATTGTGGGAGTTGAAGTCCAAAACACCTGGAGGGCCAAAGTTTGCCCATGCCTGCTTTAGACTCAGGGTTGAACCCAGGTGTGCATAGAAATTGTGGTCCTAGGTCTTTATGGGAATTGTAACTGCGTCCAGTTCTAGTGTAGGCTAAGATAATTGAATCTGTCAAATAGGGACAGTTAGAGGATAGGGATACTGAACAGATAGAGCTAGAAGCTCAGGACAGGCACAAGATAGGGCCAGATCGAATTCAAGATAGGAATAAATAGCAAAGCTTGATCGAGATCATTATAGAATTTCGGATTGATGTTAACCGAGAGGTCAGGGGATACTAGATGTTTAACATGCTATACAAAAGAGCTTTACTGTTATATTTTCTGAATTTCTCTGTTTTCATTTTAGAATTAATGTGTGGAATTGACCCAGCAATAAACACATTTGCCTGTCCAATGTAGTTATTACTTTGGGGTCTAAAATCCAGGGAATGATCATAATAATAAAAGAGCAAAGTTACTGATAGGAGTCCAAGAGTTGCATGGTCAACCTGGAGAGATGATCAGCCATAATATCGAGCTATTGTATAGCATTATGTCCAAAGTAGATTTATAGCCCAATATATCTTATTTATGTTAACATACTTTTCACTATATTAACACTAACGGTATATCAGAACAGTTGCTCTGATCACAACCTGCTCGAAGACAACTTTTTTTCAGTAAAACTACTACATTCTCTATCCCAAGAACAGTTAAGCCTATCTTCACATATAATATTGAAAATAAAAGGTTGTTACCAGTTCATATCTTTTTTTGCTTACTAGAACATTTTTGAAATGACAGAATATTCTTATGCAATGGTGGTTTTTTTTTGTGTGCAATATCTTAAGTAGAGATAATAGAAGAAGGTCGTCCCCCCCCCCCTCCCCCCAAATGGACCCAGTAAACCTCAGTTGATTTCCACATAGCTCACTGTGCGCTTTCTGGGCCTTTGTAATGCTTAATGGCAGTTCTGTTTGGCTTCCTGGCTGCAACAGAGAGAGGATTGAGTGTTTCTTTAAGGGTTTCTCGACATGGCCTGAGCTCTGAGATTCCAAAGTGTCTCTCCAGGAGCACTGTTGTTGCTCTTGTTCCTTGGTGCCTTGTGAAAAATCTGAACTCTGTATTAGAAAGGTTTATAACTGCTATGGGTGCAGGATCTCAATGACTGTGGGGGAAAAACTGAATTAAAAAAACAATTTTTTATACCTTTGGCCAAATACTGCCAGATTTCCTAAAGATTCCTAAAGAGAACATATTACTTCTATTCACAAATAATAAAATATGTAAAAATGAAAACCACCAGTATGGATGGCCAACTCTATTTCAGAAATTATCAAGAGAACATTCTATTTATTTTTACTGATCTTGGCCACACTGGTGATTGGACAGGAAATGGAAATGTGACCAGGTGTACTTTGTTAGGGATTGAAGGGAAGTATTCTAGCTTCCACTCCTCCCATCATAACTGATCCCTTTAAACCAGAAATTGGGAAACTGCTGGGGGTTAGAGCAATGGTTCTCAACCTGTGAGTCCCCAGGTGTTTTGGCCTACAATTCCCAGAAATCCCAGCTAGTTTACCAGCTGTTAGGATTTCGGGAGTTGAAGGCCAAAACATCTGGGGACCCACACTTTGAGAACCACTGGGTTAGAGGGTTATAGGAGGCATTGTGAGATTGTCTTCTCCTAATATATTTTTTTAGATTCCCGAGGGACATGAAAGTGTTGACAACCACATTTAGCATTCACATTCTCACATTCTGCATTAATCTATATTAATACTATCTATTTCCTTTCAAATGGAAGAATTCCTTTCCCAGACAACTTTATATAGATACCCCTTTGGTATGTCTAGCTGTCGTATTAAAATGGCAAGGTATAATCCACAGTGTTAACAATATAGAAAGTGCATGTATGAATATTATCAATATCATTAATAAGTGCTTTTCATATTGTACTTGTCTCTAAATCAAAGTTTTCGTTCTGCAGTGATTAATAAGGACCATATCTTCTAATGCTTATGGTGTTCTTGATAGCCCAGGTTTCAGCTGTGGATGTACACACACCAACAGAACTTTCTGTGGAGAATGGAACAGAAGCAAAACTTCCTTGCACCTTTGCATCATCTGAAGTGATCAGCAGTGCAGCTTCCGTTACCTGGAGCTTTCAAGCAGAGGGATCAACTACTTCTGTGTCGGTAAGAGACAGTGATTGAAATAAAAGTACATCCACATAAGAGTTTGTTGATTATTCAGGTTATTACGTATTTTCCAGCCTTTTGGTTCAACACACACATTAACTAGTAAGAATGTGTGTATTGAATACTGCTTTGGAATTACATCACAGTGTTCAACCTTTTCTTCTTGCCCTTAAGGATAGTACTTCTGTGTACATTTCAAAAAAATTTACTAGCAAAGGACGAGTTTGGATGAGAGCCTGTTTGAACCAGGGCTCCTTGTGATAGATTAAGCATTGTGTTCTCATAGCTAGTTAGGGCAGGCCTCAAAATGCATGCCAACAGATCTTTTCTGTGATGGAAATTCTAGGTCCAAAAGAGACTTGTAAGAGGAACAAGGGCCTGAAATGGGGTGTATCTTACCATGCATGCTTGTAACTACTTTCAGATTTCCCTATGTATTATTATTGTTTTTTACAAGGGACTTGAAATCAGCACATATCTCTAATTATGTGGTATATTTTGCCTTTATTCCTGACTTGCTTCACTACTGGGTCACATTTAGTGACTTTATTGCTGTTACTATAAGATAGCCCTGCCTTGAGCAGTTGGGTCTAGATGCAGGATAAAAATATATTTGTGTGAGGATTTAAAACAAAGATATGGTTGGCTTGTCACATTTGCTGGGGTTAGGACAGAGGATCTCCACAAATGTGAAAAAACACACAAATGAGACCTTTTTAACCTCAAAGAACACGTCCTATGAATCTCTATGCCCTCCAGCACAATTTTATGATAGCAGTTGATCAGAGAGTCTGGAATCTCTAATAATCTCTAGGTCTTCTAGCAGAACTCTGTGGCTGCAGTTGATCATAAAGTCATGTAGAAATCTAGAGATTCCTAGAGAACACATTTTAATCAAATCTGTGAATAATCAAATCAACAAAATCTGCAAATGTTCAGAGCTGATCTCATATTTCTTTATGTAAAGAAACATTAACATGTTATCTTAAATGCATTAAGGAGCCCCCTGTGGCGCAGTGGGTTAAACTGCTGAGCTGCTGAACTTGCTGATCGAAAGGTCACAGGTTAGAAACCGGGGAGTGGTGTGAGCTCCCGTTGTTAGCCCCAGCTTCTGCCAGCCTAGCAGTTCAAAAACATGTGAATGTGAGTAGATCAATAAGTACCGCTTTGGCAGGAAGGTAACAGCGCTCCATGCAGTCATGCCAGCCACATGACCTTGGAGGTGTCTACGGGCAACGGCGGCTCTTCGGCTTAGAAATGGAGTTGAGCACCAACACCCAGAATCGCACACGACTGGACTTAATGTCAGGGGAAAACCTTTACTTTTACCTTAAAATGCATTTATTCAGTTACATTTGTTTCTATTTCTAATTTCTAATACTGTATATCAATAAATGTTAATGATTAAAACTGTAATTGCTATTTTGAAGAATAGTTCTAGTTCATACTGTCAGAATTGCCATTTCCCCTAGTAAACTCTACCTCAGTTAATTCAGAACTATGCTCTTGATCATGATTTTAACTTGAGGCCTGTAGCTGGCTGCTTCCTGCTTCCTTCTGCCCTTAGTCCAATTCTCCACTTTGTTTTGAACTCTTTCCACAGCCTGGTCTCTTCATTTGCTCTCACTTGCTTGAACTCCATCTCTATTTGGTCCCAGTCCTGTTTTTTATACAGGCAGACCTCAATCCAATGTCTAGTCAGACTGAAATTAATGTCCCTCCCCTGATCAGATATCATTTGTTTGGACCTTTTATTCCACTCTAAATACATAAAGTAAAATAGGCCAAACAGCTAAGTCAAAGCCCAGTAAGTCACTCAACTATAAACTATGTATCTGTATCAGCCAGAAGCTTCAATCTAAAGAGCCTTTTACTTCCTGTGGCTGTTTAACTCTGTCACATTCTGTTTCCCCCCACCATATTTGACACAAACAGACACAGAGAATACAAATTTTGTCACACATAAGGTCTCTTTCTTTACAAAGGAAAACGGGTATTCCCATGGATGATTCAGTCCAATCTTGAGATTTTTATATATGGTCTGGAGTTTGGGTGTTGGAAAAGTTTAGCAAACATGATAATGTGATATCGTCTACTTCTATGTAATTAATTGCATACTGTTAAAAATAAGGCTTTATTGTGGCATAATGTTTTCTGTTCTTGATAACAGTTCTTCTATTATTCCAATGGGAGAGCATATCCTGGGAAAAGTACACAATTTAAAGACAGAAGCAGCTGGGCTGGAGACCTGAATAAGAAAGATGCGTCTATCAATATAGCAAACATGCAGTTTCAAGACAACGGAACTTACATCTGCGATGTCAAGAACCCTCCAGATATAGTTGTCACTCCAGGAGAAATCAAAGTCAGAGTTGTGGAGAGAGGTACAGTACTCCCTGGTAAGAGTGTGTGTAACAATGGCTGAGGCAATTTTCTGTGTCATTATTTCACTGAAATTGCTCTTGTTTACTTAGACTTCACTTACGTGTTGTTGTGGTGGTTCTAGCATAATTTTAGATGCCTTGTATGGAAATTATTTTTCCCTGGAAATAAAGGTGGTTTTTGTTTTCAATTGAAGAGCGATTGGACAAAATAGAAAACCTCATCCTCAGTTGAAAGCACAAATCCAGTGTGTTTAAGAAAATCCCTTAACTACAGCATGAATATTTAGTTTTTCCAAGTGTCCCATTTTTGCCTTTGTTCTTTTATGAATCTATGGAAAGGCTTTTATCTCCAAACTGAGATGTAGAAAAGGAGCACTGATTATTGTCGGATAAAGGTGGGACACTGACAGTGTCAGATCGCAGTGTCTAACTTTGAGAAAGGAGTCAGATTTCAAATGGGAAGGGATGATATTCAACACAGGAAGTGTCCCAAGAGGCAGTCTGGTTTCCAGCCCAAAATAGTTCCTCACCATATTTTAGTGCTATCATTTGCCTATTATGATTTATATATATGTGTGTGGTACGGATACCAGTAGTTTCATGTATCCTGTATTTGCTATGTCATTCCCTGTCTTCTGATTAACCTTCTTTCATGATTATGCAGTTGAGCTAACTTTCAAATACAATGGATATGCATGTAAAATGTGCCATGTTCTTCATATGATTACCTTTACCTATACATTTTAGAGCATGCTTCTTAATTTACTTCGGATTTGAAGTTGAAAGACTTCATTGAGTAACTGGCAGTGCTTTGTGTAGTGCAGAAGTGGGGACAGGGAATACCAGTTTTGTTGGGCCAGAGCACATTGAAAAGCCATGGAAGTTTAAAATACAAAAAGAAAGCAGAAGGAGACTGGCATCCTCTTGTAGTTTTAATTTTTTTCTGATTGGAGGGGTATGTATGGGACTTAGTACAGCCCATTGGAGGGTCTATGGTCTGAAAATACATCCTTAGATTTCTAAAACCGCAAGATTAAACTAGTACTAACATTCTTCAGTCTGATTTTTCAAGTTTGCAGGCTCTGTCTTAGGACTTCAGTCACACTACAGATCCTGTCACTTTGACATCTAGACAGGATTCATTTTGGACTTTTCTCTTTGTTTTGTGTTTATGGTACTGTGTTTTTGAATTTCAGATCTAGTACACAACACAAAAAGAACCAAAGGCATACAGTAGCTGATACATCTTTAATGCATGAATTTAACATCCAAAAGAGAATAATGGTTTCAATCCACTTAAAAGTGTTGGCCAATTTCAAAATGGATCAAACTGAAGCAAACTTTTCTTTTCCCCTCAGGAAACTTGCCCCTGTTTACCCCTACCCTTGTGGCAGGAATAAGCATTGGTGGAGTTCTGGGTTTAGGTTTACTCATCATTCTTATTGTGTGTGTCGTGTACAGAAAGAAGAATTCTAAAAAACATTACTCTGGGTAAGATATTTTTACACTTGTTGCTTATTTTTTTTAAATAAAAAGGCCAGAATTAGGTTCATTTATTTTTGTTTGTTCGCTTTTGTTTTCATTACTAAATGTATTATGACAGCTGGGACACACTTCCCTCTCAAAACAAATAAATTTCAGCTTTGTTGTTCATATACTTTGCCCCTTTACATTCGTACAGTCCCTGCTAGATATTCATGTATTTATGGAATGGGAAGGGTATTGCATAAACTGTCTGGAAAAGCAATCCTACCCTCTTCCCAATGCAAAAATAAGGAGCTTTTGAAACTCCCAGGATAAAGGTAAAATGCTGGACACTTTCTACATTTTTGATTGCACGACTTCATTTCCCAGTTTGGGGTATTGCTGCCAACTCCTTGACAACAGTCTGCTTGCCAGAGGTTTCCAACTCCAGCTTTGGGAAAACAGTCCCTCTATTCTTTTCACTGGCTTCACCATTTGCATGACTTCCTTTTCTCCCTGCACTTAATTTCATTTTGAGGAGCTTTTATCCTGTAGGCATTTGATCCGGAGATTTTGGAATGCTATTAAAAGTTTGTGATGGGTTTCTTTTGTGGTGTGGTGGTGGGCCTTTGTCTTCTTTACTTCAGCACTTAACTCAAACAGAAAATAGATCACACATCAGGGATTTATCATTTCACTGCCCAACTCTTTCCAGGCCTTTGTAGATCTATTGAATTGTATCAATGAAGCCTTTAAAAATCTAGTTCTTGATAGGTGTGTTTAATTGGCAATTTTCCCACTATACCTTCTTTTCAGCTGAAGATCATAGAGAGGGGTTGCAGCAGAGGTTAGTAGTATGACTGAGTGAGTGCAGTGGTCTGCTACATAAAGTAAAGAGTCCCATGTGGAAAACTTAGTTTTCTTTCTGCATGTGCTCTTTCCATAATGGCTTGAAGGCTGTTTACTCTGATCTGCACATTTGGATCCCAAAATCTAACATGAGTATTTAACACTCTGTCCATGCGTCACTGTTGAAAACTACTTGAAGGGTTTGGAACAATAATATACATGCACTAAATGATTCTACTGCTGTTATTGTTTCCTCAGCAGTGTCAACTTTAAGAATATTAATAATAAACTATACCAGCTCCATATTCCTGTTGATTACTAAATGAGAAGATGTGTCTATCCTGTAATTACAATTTTTACTCTAATTGCTAAATGATACTAACACTATCGATTTAATGGACTGATTTGGGTGGTGGTGGGAACCCTTGCATGGCAGTAGCACAACTTCTGTTCTTACTCTGACGTTTTGGTTTTTTCCTTTCTTCTTGTGTGTACTGGGATCGGATCCTGCTCTTATCTTCCTCTCCTTACAGAGATCCCGATATAGACGCAAGATTGGGAATGTAACAGGGCTGGGTCTCCTCTTCCAGTCCCACTATATATCATGGTAACTAATCAAATTGGTAGTTGCTCTTTGATACTTTGTGTATATGAGTGTGCACATTTCTGCCTCCCTTGCTGACTACCCACCTAACATAACTCCATCACTCGTGCTGGAATTCTGTTTTGTAGACTGTTGGTGAAGGGGCAGCACATTTCATCTACTTGCTTGAATTTTGTTGTTTCATTCTGTCCTTTGTGGCAACAGTGCTATTTGCCATCAGAATCAGTACCCCATTGCTTGGCAACAAACTCATGTGCATGAAAGGGATTTGGACTCTGTACATTGTGAGAGAAGAAACTCACTGCATGCTAAGCAAATAATTGAAAGTCCTATATGAACAGATCTTTAGCCCAGGAATATTTTGAGATATGTACAAACATTCGTGAAATCTTAGAAAGACCTCCAAGCATTTTATTTACTTTCTGACATCCTTATGTTCAGTCCCAGTAAAAATGAAAGCCCGTTTACTGATACTGACATACCTTTTTTCTCAGTTCTGTAGTTCCCTGTGTACTGCTGCATATCTCATGTGTCTGCTTTTTATAATGTTTAAGTGTTCCTTTTGGACAAGAGAAAATATTGGCTTGCAGAGAACCATGTTCTGCTTATGTCATTGTCATACTGTCATTATCCATATGTGTTTATACATGTTATGAATGTTGTGCAGGAGAAAAAAAATAGGTGCAGCTTTCTTCAATGTGTGATCTCCAGACATTTTGGATTACAGGTCCATTCATTTGAACCATTGTGTTTGTTTACTGAGACAGGCACTGGGTGTATTCCAAAACCTCTGGAGCACAGTTGGCTCTCTATATCTGCAAACTTTGGATCTGCAGATTCATCCAACCATGGATTCAAAATACACAACACAATAAACATGAAGTTGGAGAGAGACTGAGGATCTGTGAAATGGCAGGAATCCAAGTCCAGTGGTTGGTGCAGATGCATGCCTTCCACCATTTCATAGATGATCACTCTGTTTCCAGCCTTACATTTTTGCTCCTTCACCATTTTGTATGATCATCCGTGGATTTTGTTGTTCATGGGGAGTCCTGGAACCAATCCCCTGTGGATACAGAGGGCCAAGTGTGGGCGAAAGGTTGATCTCAGCAAAGGCAGCTAACCGAGTCAGAGTTTCCCCCCCATCTTGGCATAAAGCTAGATATTTATCACAGTGGCCGTTTTCTGAACAGGAACACTAGTATATCCAGTACATGAAAGCAGATTCTCATTCCATTTGTCTAAAGGATTTAAAACTACATTGAGTAAGGCATCCTCCATTAAAATCCTTTTAAGTACATGAGGTTTCATTCATTAATTTAGCATGCTATTCTTTGTAATATTTATTCTAATGGTTTCCCAACACACATTTAAAAAATAGTGGTAATAAAATATAAAACAAATAAACATAATTTAAAATGTCATTTTATGACTCTAAAATACAGCATCCTTCCAGTACCTAAAAGACACAAATGTTTGAGAGATTAAAAATGCTTAAATTGGTACCAAATGTTGTGCACAGACAAACCTCTTTGTAAAGAGAGTTCCATAGCAGTTTTAAGGTGATATCTTGTTGAGGACTTGTTGTGTCCTGTGACATAAGTTGAAGCCCATGGAAATGATTGTTTAGAAAAGAAATAGTCTCTATTTTTTCATGTCAGGAGTGACTTGAGAAACTGCAAATCACTTCTGGTGTGAGAAAATTGCCCGTCTGCAGGGACGTTGCCCAGAGGATGCCCAGATGTTTGATGTTTTACCATCCTTGTGAGAGGCTTCTCTCATGTCCCCAGTGGGGAGCTGGAGCTTACAGAGGGAGCTCAACCCACTCTTTCCGGATTCACTGACCTGTGAGTCAGCAGTCCTGCCAGCACAAGGGATTAACCCATTGCACCACTGGGAGCTCCTATAGTCTTTAATGATGTGGTTACATGGAAGTGAATGCAGGTGCCTCAGACACATATGACCAAGAACTGTTTCCATAGATCCTGGCAGGGTCACTCATGTAGTAAGAGATTAGCAGCTCACTGAAAGTTATATTGGACATACTTGTGAGGGAAGAAGAAGTTCCTGTGTTGAACAGAAGTATGGAGAGGATGTACGAGCTGTCTGTCACTCATTGAGATCACCCTTTATTTTGGCATAAGATGCCATATCATCCTGCCATCACTTGCATTTGTTTTTGTTTTGTTCTGTTTTGTGTTGACTCTTGAACATTGTCCTGCAAACTCTGCTCTGCCACCTCATCAGCTGCAGTACCTCTGAGAGCTTGGTGTCTCCAGTTAAGCAGGCTCCACGGAAGTCCCCCTCCGACACAGAGAGTCTGGTAAACAGCGTGCCCACCCGATCACACCAGGTAAATGGCATCATGCTGCTTTGAGAACTAACGTGGAGACCACATAGGCATCAGGAGAGGTGCTGTTCTTGTTGAGGGGAGGGAGAGATTTTACAGAGAAAACACTGAGCATGGTACCTGTTCAGGAAGATTCCCCAGCCAAATAAAGGTGAAGGACTAGGACTCTAGTATTTTGAAGATAGAATTGTTGGCTTTGATTTTTTACAGGACATTCAAAAAGACTGGAATAGGGCTACTAGTTGGTAAATATAGAGTCATTGCAGTGAGAGCATTTATTATGCCACAACAGCCTACTTGTATGTGGCTTTTGAACCCTGGAGTGTGATTTGTCTTGTGCTGATTGATCTGTAGAGTTTTTAAAAGATTTCCCATTTTTGTGGCTTAGGTTTACAACAGATAGCTCTTTAATTCCTTCAGCTACAATCCTGTCATTTTATTTATGCTAAGAATTTAATATTAATTACTCTTACAATAAGCTTTTCCAGAGCCAATCTTTTGCATGTTGTTGTTGTCTCTCCCTCCCATTACATGTATTTATCGCTTAAAAGAACGAGTACTAATCTGCTGTTTGGATATATCACTTCTGGAGTATTGCTCAACAGGAACTAGATGCGGTTCTTGATTATTACATTCTGGGTTTGAGAAAATGGACAGTGCATGTAGCTCTCAGTGCTACTTTTTTCACTTGTAGGCCCCAGCATTCTTTGAAAATAATAAAAAAATATTTTTGCCTTTATATACTGACTATAGCGGTTCAATTTTGCTGTTTCTTTTTTTGGGGGGGGGGGTGTCTTCTTCTGGCCCTTTTATGTAAGTAACTACCAGGAAAAGAATCTCTTTAAAACAGCCCGGAGTTAGCTAAACAAATAAATAAAAATGACAAATTTACCCCTCATGCCCCCTGGTGGGATTTAGGGGCAAAGATTTGTGGCCCTCCAAAATCAGGAGTGAGGGCCATGCAGCCCTCTACTCTTGCCAGTTGCCCACCTCTCATACACATGAAATTTCTTATTGAGATGCCAAATGTTGCCTGAGATGGGAAACAAAATAGCCAGGTTTCTTTCCTTCTTTAGTCAGTTGTTTTGATGTAAAGTATTGAGTTGGGAATATTATGTAACAGAAGCAACTTTGCCTTCAAATTGTACAGGGTTAGTCAAAATGAATAGGCCAATAAGAAAATTAATTTTAGACGAATGTATGTTTACTGTAACCAAACCACAGCTACGTAGCGACAGATAAACTATCAAAGTTTTTTTTGAGCAACACACATGTACGTTAATGCCGCTAGGCGTCGCTAGGGGTCGCTGTTTTCAAAATGGCAGAATCAAGCAAAGAGAAGGCGTTTTGTGTGATGACATTTGCTAAAACAATGTCAGTAATTACGGTCCAGCGAGAATTTCAAGGGTTAGGGTTAGGGTTAGGGTTAGGGTTAGGGTTAGGGTTAGGGTTAGGACCTCAACGAACACCTTCCCAGACGTTGCTGCATTCGATGCCATTACGTCGGATGTGCTGCAACGGATGTGGAATGAACTGGACTATCGCTTGGACATCTGCCGTGTCACACGGGGCGCCCATATCGAACATCTCTGAAGGTGAGACAAAACTTTGATAGTTTATCTGTCGCTACATAGCTGTAGTTTGGTTACAATAAACATACATTCGTCTAAAATTAATTTTCTTATTGGCCTATTCATTTTGACTAACCCTGTATTTATATAAGTTTTCTATTTTTCCAAAGGTACACAGATTGAAAGTAAAAGTAGACTCTCACAAGGCACGAAATTATTTTTCAAAATGCGGAGGCAGCTTAATGGCTGTGTAGATTTAGCTTTGTGGTAACTTGGCATTATTATGCAAATTAGCATGTAGACCTAGTAAAGGAATGTTTGTTTGTTTGCTTTTTGGAACTTCTGCTTTTAGGTTTCAAGATCTAGTGTATTCTTTGTAGCAATCCTTTTAGTTGAAGTTTCTCATTATATCCTTTAATAACACTGAAGATTAATTTGTGATAAGGCAGGCAGAGGAGGGACAGAAGTTTATCTTGCCTATAGTAGCCCATTCATTTTAGTGTTGGACACAGATTGAAGACTCCATTTTCCGATCTGCATGCAGTTCAATTCCTTGTTTCCTGAGGCTGTATGGTAAGTGATTGGTGGATAGTCAAGTATTTGCTTTTGTGTAAAGTAGTTGTGGGTCTGGTGATCCTATTTATCCGCAAAAGGTAAGGCATAAGATTAACAATTTCTTCAGGGCTTCTTTATACACTTAAGTCTGCAGGTTTTCATACAGCCATTTACCTCATAACAACAACAACAACAACAGCAAACAGTAACTTTATTCTTATATTCTGCCTCCATCTTCCCGAAGGGACTTTCAAAGTGCCAAAAACAGAGCACAGAATAAGCACATAGTACAATACAATAGAATAAAACATATAACACATAAGAACAATTTAAAACTCAGAACAACACCCAATGACCTATGGTGACAAACTACCGAAAACATGGATACTGCAAATTGTAGCTAAGGAACAAGGACATGTGATGAAATGCAGTGCTGTGTCATTAATTGTGGACCACTGGGACTAGACATTCTCAAAGGCTTGTTTACACATCCAAGTCTTCAAATCCTTATGGAAGGAGGACAGTGTTGGAACCTGCTTAATCTCACTGGGGAGGGCGTTCCAAAGCTGGGGGGCCACCACCAAGAAGGACTTCTCCCTCATCCCCACCAACTGTGCTTGTGACAATGGTGGGAGCGAGAGAAGAGCCTCCCTGGCAGATCTTAATGCTTGTGTGGGTACATAGGAGGGGATGTGGTCACGAAGATAGACAGGGCCTGAACCATTCAGGGCTTTATAGGTAATAACCTGCACTTTGAATTGAGACCAGAAACTTATTGGCAGCCAGTGGAGCTGCAATTAGTAGGGGCATTGTATGCTCCCTATACCCAGCTCAAGTTAGTAGCCTTGCTGCCAAACTTAACATCAATTGCAGTTTCCAAGCTGTCTTCAAAGGCAGCTCCACGTAGAGTATATTACAGTAATCCAATCTTGATGTGACTAAGACATGGCCCACTGTGGTCAGATCCGGCTTTACAAGATATAGTGGCAGCTGGCGCACAAGCTTTAACTGTATAAAGGCTCTCCTAGCCACCACCGACACCTAAATTTCAAGCGTCAAGGCTGAGTCCATGAGGACCCCCTGACTGCGGACCTGTATCCTAAGGGGAAGTGTACCCCGTTGAGCACAGGTGGCCACCGTATACCCCTATTGGCCTCGCGACTGACCAGGAGGACCTCTGTTTTGTCTGAATTGGGCTTCAGCTTGTTAGCCTTCATCCAGTCCATCACAGCTGCCAGACACTGGTCCAGAATCCGGGGGGCTTCCTTAGAGTTTGATGGAAAGGAGTAGTAGAGTTGTATATCATCTGTCTACAGATGGCACTAAACTCCAAAACTCTGGATGACCACACCTAGTGGTCGATGATATCGAAAGCTGCTGAGATATTAAAGAGAACCAATATAGACACAGTTCCCCTGTTCACTCCCTGCGGACCTCATCTACCAAGGTGACAAAAGCCATTTCCGTTTTGTGGCCAGGCCTAAAACCAGACTGCGATGGATCAAGATAATCGGCTTCATCCAAGAATCCCTGGTGCTGAGAGGCCACCACACGCTCCAGAACCTTGCCCCAAAAAGGGAGATTAGAAATAGGCCGATAGTTGTTCAATACTGAGGAATCCAGGGATGCCTTCTTCAACATTGGTCTGACTGTTGGTATTTGTCCCTGCTCCAGCAAGACATTTATAATCCTCGTGAGCCACTCAGCCAATCCCCTACTGACAAGTTTAATAAGTCAAGAAGGGCAAGGTTCTAGGGTGCATGTGGTCGCTTTCACAGTTCCAAGAATCTTGTCCATGTCATCAGGCTGAACATGCTGAAATGAATCCATCAAAACTGGACAGACAGGTGCCTCAGGTACATCCCTTGGTACTGCAGTAAGAGTGTATCTGAGCAACTTTACCTGGAAAATGATAGGCAAACTCCCCACATCGAGTTGTCGAGTGGTCTGGGAACTCCTCCTGATGGCTAGAGTGGAGGAGTTCCCTGACCACCCGAAACAATTCCGCAAGTCTATTTGTTTCAGACACAACGCGTGTAGTTGAGAAAACCTTCTTGGCTTCCTTAATTGCCACCGAGTAGGCCTTAAGCGAGGCTGTAGCCCGCGCTCGGTCGGGTACTTTCCGAGTGTTCTGCCAGTGGCACTCTAGCCTTTGTCTTGCCCGCTTCATCACCTCCAGCCCCCTGGTGAACCAAGGAGCAAAGCAAGAGGGGATGTTCAGAGGCGATCATGTCAATTTCCCTAGCCTTTGAGTTGTAGTGGTCGACCAGGGCATTGACAGAATCATGCCTACTTCCTAATTGAGACGTGTGTGTGTGCTCTTTTTAAAAAGGAACTTGTGTGTGCATGATCCATCACAACATGTTTTTTATGAGTAATCTTAAGATATTTTAAGGGACATGAAAAGAACCGTACTATAGTATGCTTGAGAGTAGAAACTGTTACTTTCTTCTAGCCTAATCAGGAGTTAAAAAGATTAATATGAATGAATACATTAATGTGCTTGGTTAATGTTGATCTGTCTGGGGTATATGCTGCTGCAAAGGCTTTTTCAGTGATGCCATTTTAAAAAATTGTATAATGACTTTCATACACAGGCTTCCACTTCTCTTCCTATTGTCACAATATTCTTGTGGGATACTTTAGAATAAGAGCACTTAAGGCAACCATGCAATGGAATTGGAATGTCAGTGACAGTTTCTCACAGAACCAAGATGTTAATGATGTAAAGATTTTAAAACAAAAAAAAAAGAGGGGAAGTAATACTTTCCGCTAGAGCAGACGGAGCCGCAACTTGCAAACTTCTTGATCACAGTCTACTAATATCCTGTTATTTTTCTCTAAGTTAATGTTGCCTATTATGAAAGTAGGAAGTTTGTTGCCCAAAGTTGTGTTTCAAACAGCATGCATGGAATCTTCATCTCATTGGATTCATTTAATCTTCAGGCTTGCTGACTACTCACCAAACTTGCTTTCACTTTTGTCCTTATCAGTACATTCATTTGAGGCATCAGCATATCACAATGCATGTCTGCCTGATACAAAATGTCACAGTGGTTTGCATTCCTCTCTCTCGTCTGTCTGGCTGTACAACATTTGTTCACTTTGATTGTGATAATTGTGGGTATGTTCCAGTTTAGTGCTGACCTGACTGGTTATCTGGTTTTCTTTATGCTTATCAGACGGTTTTGAAGATTGTATCCCCATTATGTATTATTCCAGAGATGATGTTTGAATGCTGAATGGAGGCTTGCTGAGGCCAGGCTTCATGTTTGATAAACAGAATATTGACAATAACAGTCTTCTCATAAATTCTGAAAGCAAACATACATGCTATTTCTTTTCTCTGATGCGAGTATGTTTACATAACATTGCACACTTTCTTTATTGTGTGGAACATCCACCAAAATCTCCTTATTGTCTTACTGTTAAGATTAATGGTATATAGTTCCTAGAAAATTAACAAGACATCAAAAAAATAAATGTAAGATGTTCTCAGTGGTTTTCAATGGAATGTTCCCAGATAAATGATGTTGAGGAGTTTGAAGTAAAAACGATGCTGAACCACTATAGTTACAGATTCATAAATGCTCTGTATCAATGCTATCCAATCTGTCTGATGTGAAGGATTGGCAGGGCTTTTTTTCCTAGTGTGCCAGGGATTGGTACTGTATTTGTGCTTTGTAATTACAACTATTTTAGGGCTCCCTGGTGGCACAGTGGGTTAAACTGCTGAGCTGCTGAACTTGCTGACCGAAAGGTTGACTGTTCAGATCCAGGGAACGGGGTGAGCTCCCGCTGTTAAGGCCCAGCTTCTGCCAACCTAGCAGTTTGAAAGCATGTAAATGTGAGTAGATCAAGAGGTACCGCCATGGTGGGAAAGGTAATGGCACTCCTTGCAGTCATACTGGTCACATGACCTTGGGAGGTGTCTACGGATAACGCTGGCACTTCAGGCTTAGAAATGGATATGAGTACCACCCCTCAGAGTCTGACACGGCTAGACTTAATGTCAGGGGAATCCTTTATTATCTCACTTCCTTTATTATCTCACTGTAAACAGACAATTCCTAGCTCATGCATTAGCCTCAGTCTACTGACCACCATCTTAAGAAGCTCTGCTCTAAATTCCTAGGTGAGAATGATGATGATCTTATGTTACAAATAGATATATATTATTTGACTAAATCAGTATTTTCCATTCATACTGTAATTCAATAGCTGTAATTCAATGGTTTTGAAAGTCATTAGTGAGCCGAGTAGCTAGTGGGGAATATTTTCTAGTGCTATCTATTTTTTTCCACTTCAAAAACAACACTGTTGTTTTCTTGATATTCCTTTCCCCTTTGGTTTCCACTGAAAAATATCTGTTATTTTCATTACCTGTCTATTCTTAGCTACCAGCTCCCTTTAAAAAACGCATATGTACTGTTGATTTATTAATCAGAACGCTATTACAGTGTTTTACCTAAAGTGAGCATTTTAGGGCTATTTTCCTGTTCATCTTGTACTCCTATAATATGGACTATTTTTGACAAAACATGTTGCACAGACTCTGGGGAGGTGGCCAACTGAAAATTGGTCATTGTAATTTTGGGTTCAAAGGTTACCAAGAACATGCCTCTTTAGACTTGATCTCTTTTGGATTACATAACCTTTTAAAATGTAAAATGTTCATGGCTTACTCCAGATCCCCTGTGTTGCCTTGTAATACATCATGAAAACTGTTGCCATCTAGTGGAGTACATTTTGCTAGACAGGTATTTTTCCTCAAGAATGTTTGTTATTGCATCACATTTGAGGACACTGCAGACAAGAAGCTATAGAATCTCTAAAATTTAGTTGCATTTCAAAAACCGAAGATAATCAGGCTGCATTGAGGAGCTTTTTTTCCGTGTCAGGAGTGACTTGAGAACAAGTTGCTTCTGGTGTGAGAGAATTGGCTGTTGCCCAGGGGACACTTGGATGTTTTACCATCCTGTGGGAGGCATCTCTCATATCCACGCACGAGAAGCTGGAGCTGGCAGACGGGAGTTCACCCCGCTCCCCAGATTCGAACCGCAGACCTTTTGGTCAGCAGTCCTGCTGGCACAACGGTTTAACCCATTGCATCACCGGGGCCCCAATCCACCTTAGGAGCTACACATTCTTGTTAAGTAAAAGAAAGCCCCAATACATCTTAGAGCAAAACAGCCTTCCCAGATTTCTATTTTAGCACTGAGGGAAAAAATGGAACCTATTGAAGGAACTAGTTTTAACAGGACTCTGAAATGCTTGATGTACTCTCATAAAATAGGAATCTGCTCTCACCAGTTTTTGACTGTATTTTGCTGCATCTGCCTGAAGAATTAAATGCCAGATTTCCATGAGATATTTTAAAAATGAATTTACATGTGCTTTCTTTCAGCCGATTGGTAATTTTCAAAAGTCCACCTCATCTGCAATATTTTCTATCTAAATCCTTTTTAAGGTAAATGTGTCAGTCTCCTATATACACAGGATTAGAATTTTGCCTGCTCTGAGGTTTCATTTAGCTAATTATGTTATAAATCGGGGTTTTAAAAATGTATTCTACCTCCCAGCTATGTGGTAAAGGAAATGTGCTATCTTCCCGTGTTCTTACTTTGTTTTTGTTTTTTCCCCTGTTTTTAGGGCCCAGTAATTTATGCACAGTTAGATCACTCCGGAGGGCATTGCAGTGACAAGATCATCAAATCAGAATCTGTGGTCTATGCTGATATTCGGAAAAACTGAGAAGATCCCAGCCTACCCAAAGCTAAACAAAAATTCAAACTGGAATCGCTTGAATAAAGTTGACCCAGAGAACTCACATGTGGCCTTTGACGCCTAGGCTAGGACCAATGCATGTGTATACAGAGAGAAAGAGATTATATATGTATTGTGTGTAAATAGTCTTATTTAATCGTACAGAAATGAGACCAATGTTGCATGTTGAACTATGATAAGAACTCTGCTTATAAATTGCCAATATTTTTTCTTTTATATTTAGGATAAGGGGAAGAAAGCAAATATTCATTTTACACCTTTAGGTAATGTGTCTTAGTTGTTCTGTGGAAAAACTGGAAAATTCCTGGATATTCTAGTGGATTTGATATTTTGTTTTTTACAGATGCTTTCCTTTTTCTTTCTTTTTTTTTTCTTTTTTTGTTGAAATGGACATTAGAACTGTTTCTGCATGATTCCTTTTCCTCATTTGGTGCTTTCTACACTCACTTGATCATACTTAACTCTTGTCCTTTCATTCCAACACCCTTGTTTTGCCAAGGGAAAAGCTCTTACCTGCCTTCAACTTCCAGCATGGTTTCCTCTTGGCTAGAGCCAAGGTTTTATTTCAGGACATTGACAAACCTTTGTCCTGTTTTAATTAAAAGCTATAAATGAAATGGCTTTTTTAACTTTATGAATTTTCAGCAATCCTAATAATGCAGCATTAATAAAAGACCCCCTTTTTACTTTACTCTTTCTCCTTTATATTTCTAAGTGCAAGTTCTTCTGGGTCTAGTGGGATTTCTGCAATAAAAATTACCTAAATCCAATATTTTTGAATAAAAATAGGGCAGCGAAGTGCTAGGTGGATCTTCGGTTTGATCCTAGTAAGACTTGCTTGAAGCTCTTGCATTTGTCTGCTACTGGTAAATTTAAAAAAGTTTATCAGATTTTGCTATTCTAAGCAGATATAGCTAGAATTCTCAGTAACCCATTTCTACTGTTTTATTCCACTGCCATAAGGGGACACTTCATGGAAGGCATGAAGTGTGATGGGATATTAAGCGTGAGCTTCCAAGGGACAGGGTAAAGGTCCTATTCACACTAGTTCTTTTTAATATATACAAGTTTACCTTAAAACAAGAATGCCTGTTGTTTTTCTGCTGTGGGATGAGCTATGCATCCCTGCCTTTGTTTTCTGATGACACAAAACCTCTGAACCCACATTTAGTTTCTCCTTTCCCCCATCCAGTGTTTCAGGCAGGTGGTCTACTGCTGCTAGTTTGGACAAGCATCTTGCATGTTTCTCTGCTTATGCATTTTTCTCAGCAATCTTTTTTAAAGTATAGCATTAAATGTCTGGAGTGATTATTTCTTCTTGGCTAAATCATGGTGTGACCAAGTACCTCTAAGATTTGACAAAGCATAGAGGGGAATAATTTTTCCCCTGACAGGCTCTACCAAATTTTATCCTAAGTTGTGTGTCCTTAATATATGGTTTTCAAGAGATTTAAATGAATTCAACCAGAATTGTTGACTAAGATTCTATTCTGTGGCTAGTTTAGTGTTCTACCTTGTCATCTCAGTAATGTAATTTGGCTGCAACCCTGAGCCCATTTACCGTGGAAATAAATTCCATGAATTGGACTTGCTTTTTGAATACATATGAACAGAGTCTCACTTCTTTTGTGAACTTTGGTTTATGAAAATGCTCCTTCTGAGGGGTTATTTTATCTTGAAAGAAGAAATGATGCTTCTGGCTTAATTTAACTGAAGGCTTCTTCAAGATTTGCCTGAATTAGAGAGCTACTGTTAGTGTCTTTATCTAAACTTGTAGTATAGATTGGTTACAACAAGTGGTCATTAGTGACATATAAATGAAACAACCCTTCAATTCCTTCTCTCTCTTTTGAACTCTTTAACTGTGACACTTGTTTATTGGTGCAACGTTGAAGATTCATTTATGTTGTCTTATTTCATGCAGCCTGCTTTTACAACAAAGTCACGACAAAATTTGTCTTATAACATCTGTTATTTTCTGTGTTCCTCACGTTTAACTTTCCTGGGGTCTGTTTCAGAGTTTGTACCTCAGTATTTAACTTGGCTAGAGAGAATTCTTCTACTGCCTCTTATCCTAGCCAGTCTCTTGATGCTCCATTGTTAAGAGTCTTTCTCTTTTTATTGTGAAGTGGTTAATATTTTAATTTGTACTTATGCACATCACAGATGAATTAGATGTGCTTGTCTTATTTTTTGTTTTACCAGAACTGAAATTGTTGCATCATGATGAGTTTTTCACATCTTCCTTATACCAAGACTCCACCCCATAGGTTTTTATGCATTGTATAACATGATGTTAGAGCTCATAGGAGTAACAGAAGTGCATTTTGACAAATTAGTAATCCTAGAATCCATTTCCACAACTAACATTGCAGGAGTAACATGAACGAGAATGTAGTGAAGATTAATTCAAGGATAATGAGAGAGAGAAATATAATTTCGACAGTAATGCTAATCAGTGCATCAATCGGGCCACCCATTTTAGAGAGCTTATGAAGCTACTCATAATGTTCAAAAATGTTTCTTTATGGAATACAACCTTCTGCATTTTCTCTTCTTTATTCGTTTGAGAAAATATAAAAAATTAAGGTGCTTTTAAAAGCTTCATGTGAACTGCACATGAACTGCACTCTTAGGGCCCTTCCACACAGCCATATAGCCCAGAATGCCAAGGCAGAAAATCTCACAATATCTGCTTTAAACTGGGTTATTTGAGTCGACACTGCCATATCTCCCAGTTCAAAACAGAAAATGTAGGATTTTATTCAGCTGTGTGGAAGGGGCCTTAGTTTGCTTGTCCTCTTTAGAGCAGGAATGAGCAGAAGGTAGGCTTCTATCAGTTAATAGACTAGTGAGAAACTACAGGTAGACCACCTTAACAAGTGGAAGGTTGCTGGGATTCTTACAAAGAATCCTGGCTTAGATGAAATTTGGCCTGAAGGAGCACACCACATAGTCTTAACTAAGAGAATCACATAATAGAGATAAGCTTTGCCTTAACTTTATGAGATACGAAGTACTCTTGCTTCATACATATAAAACACATAACTAGAAACTTGTGATTCCTGGTGTGAACAAAAATACAGACCACACAAGAAAGGCCACCCTTGTTTTAGAGCTACCTCTTGTAAGAGATAATTTTGTGCACAAAGGAAGACAATATATGTCTGTCCCTCAGTGCAAGGTAATATATAGTCACTACCAGGAGCAACAAAAACCTAAAGGTGGATGTTTCACGTGAACATTAGTGTTTCATATATGCAATCAGTTTGAACTGATATTCATTAATGTACATAATTCAGTGCTAATCATAGGCACTTGAATAATAGCAGTCAAATAGACTGTAGACTTAGTTGCAGTGGAACAATTTCTTATTCAAGTCTTTGTATAACATCACAGATTTTTTAAAAATCATTTTCATTCAAACATCTTTTTACTTGGGAAATATAGCATCATTTCCCTTGGTTGTTTTAATTTTTATCCAATAGACATTTCCTTGACATTATTTTATTACATTGCCATTGGGTCTCTATATCAGGAGAAAAGTGGAATAAAAATAAAGTAATAATTGAGTTGGCATTAAGTTCCTAATTTGGAGATGTCTGATGTAATACATTGGGTATTTTTTAAAATATGAAAACTGCTAATTTGTTTTCTGCATGCATTTCAGTAGAGCCCGGATATTGTTCAATGTGTGGAACAAACTTTGTTATGAAATGTCTTCCTATTTGTATTCCTTTACCATCTTTAAAACTGAGTAGTTGACCACTTGGCAAGCACAAGAAGTATGCAAGGCCTCTTGAGAGTCTCCTCTGTGTACAACCCTCTCCCTGCATTTCAGGGAACTTCTTCAATTAGTGGATGTTCGCTGTTGGCTCTTAACCATTGGTATAGCCTGAGAATACTTTAAACCATATAAAAGTGGTGGCCTGACCATCCTTTAATTCATTTGTCTGTGGTGTGTGCCATGATCTCCTTTGTAAATAGTCTCTTAGATTTAAAGACTCAATCCTGTTAATTTTAGCTTGCCCAGATTCACTTTTCCTCTATTTTAGGCAAACCAATTACAAGGCTTGTTTCAAAAATTTCAAGAGTGGAGTGTAGCCATTTTTGTCTGTTGCCACAAAGCCAATCCTGTTTGATGGCACCTCAAAGACTAACTTGTTTTGTTTTTCATAACTTTTCATGGATTGAAACTCACTTCATCAGATGCATGAAGTTTTCACCTTAGTAGTCAAGACACTTATATATATGCTGGGCTGAAGACTGGAAATACAGAAAATTGCCAGCAAGTTATGATCATACCAGTGGTCATTTTAGAAGTTGAGAGAAGATGTCAAAGCATGGCCAGCAGATTAGCACCTGTATAATGAAGAAAAGTGTTTTGTGCAATCCAAGTATAAGAGAGAAAGCTTCATAATTTATATCATTTGTGTATGAGGCTTTGTCTCTTGCTAGAGTACTTTGTGCATCTGCAGTATCAACATGTGACGTGTGACTAGAAAAACTGGAGTTGTTTGTCTTAGCTTTTTTGAAATGTGGGTGACCTCTGTCTTGCAACTTGCTCTGTATATGCAGTTTAAACGCTTTCCCTTGTGTCCAGACAGTCCTGGTGAAGTGAGCAGTTGTTCAGTCATCTACAGATGAGCCCTGACGTCTGTCAAGTCTTGTTCATAGTTTACATATTCTTGTGCCTGTCTAAAAACATTGTAAAACCAGTTGTTTTATTTGTACTGGATTGGTGGGATGTGTCCCTTTTATGAAATCCTGTTTCCAAGTTAAGATGCAGGAGAACACCTCAATCATGTGTTAAGGGCAATTTTCCTATGGTGCTGTATTTAATGCCCCTTTTCTGTGAAAGGCGATCAAGATCTAATAAAGGACTCCCGGCTGTGAAATTGAACTCACCAAACCTTGGACTACCTTCTCAAGATCTCCCTTTGCTCTATACAGCTCCACACAATGCAGCTACTGACATGTTTTCTACTTTGTTTCTGCACTTTTTAAAAACTGGAATTGAATTTGTCTTGTACAGTTTTTCCTTTGCCCCCTTTCTCACAAGCAACTGCTGCATAGAGCAGAAAGGACTCTGTGTTTATCTGGAGCGCACCACTATGGGGCACCACATGATGCTGCTGCTAAATTGGAGGGGTGGGGGAGAAAGAGGTAAACACCTATAAAATAGGTGTATAATTTGGGGGTAAATGTATGTTTTATGTGGTCTCTAACATTAAATCGGGAACTGGCGGTCACATATAATTTGTACTACTCAGTTGAACACACATCCCATCAGATATTTACATGTTTTCTATTGTACTCTTGTGAATATTTTAATACACTTTTTCCATTAGTTGTCTGTTGTGTGTCATAATTTATGAAGTGCCAAAAGAGACTGAAATATGTTTACCTTTCTCACACATCAAATAGGGAAACAGAAGGGAGCGCAGGATAGTTCCAGACTATTCTCATTTTCATTGATCCATAGCTGCAGGTCAAGGAGCCATGACAAGCAATCATTGCTACCCCAAGTCCCTTACCAAGCAAGGCTGCTTCATTGTCCCCTTTAGTATTAAAGGATGAGTGGTTCTTAAAATACAGGGTTTCAAAACGCCATAGGAGGAGCTATAAAAAATCATAGCTCTACTTAAAATCAATTTGGGTTTGGATCTCCCCTCCCTCTCTACACTGAATTTATCTCTAGAGCTGGCTTGCACACAACTTGTGGCCCTCCAGATGATTTGGACTTCAGCTCCCAGAATTCCTGGCAATTGCACAGGCTGACTAAGGGTTCTGGGAGTTAGAGGCCCAAACATCTGGAGGACTACAGGTTCTGCAGGCCTGCTCTACAGCAAGGTTGGGGAACTTTTGGCCATCCAGATACTCCTGAGCTTGTATGAGGAATAGCAGGAGCTGCACTTGAACACTGCATGGACACCCACACTTGTACTTTATATTAAAGCAGATAAACTATAAAGGCAACTGAAAACTATAGTTGTTGGGATGGATAAATCTTTAATATACATTCTAAGTATGCGTTTTGGCTACAACAAAAAAAGTCCTGAAGTGTATTAGTAATCTGAATAAGAGGAAAACCTTTGTATGGGCATTTGGAGCTAAGTTCCTAGTATGATTCATTCACTCTTCTGCACACAAAAAATCCACTCGAACCACTAAAATAAAATAAATGGCTGGAAGGAACTGGCAAAACCAGTTTTCTCCTGAAAACCCTGTGAAATTAATGGGTTATCATGTCAACAGGTGATTAAAAACATATACAGTATGGATGTTTATAATGAGAAGCACAGCTTGGTTTTATAACATACTAGTATGTGTTTGTTCTACACTTTTTTGTTGGAAGAGCAAAAATGCAGGACACTGATACCCAGGATTGTGAAAAATATGAACAAAGCCACTACAGCAAAAGGTTCCCTCTGCTATTTAAGATACAGCAGGACAAAGCCATAGTAGAGGCACCAATTTGAATTTCACTTATACAGATGAGGAAATACCCCTTGTGATTAATGAAAGGAGTGACTAACATAATGGGGTACTGCTTAAAGCTGTTGTTCGGTTACATCTTAACTCCTTTTTGAAAGGCCCTGTTACATAGCAAGGTTAACAATGGGTACTTTTAGCCTCAAAAGCCAGTAATGTCTCGCTTCAAGAGGTACAAATGGAATTATTAGTTCCATCAAGAGTAGTAGACATGCTAGATCAGTTGTGGGATGGTAGGTCAGCAGTTACCCAAGCCCCACTGACTATATGCTTACCATAGCTGGAACTGACCATTACATTTAGACCAAGAAGATTAGCTCAATAGAAGCCAAACAATTTCCCAGATCCAAAACGACTCCTTTTCATAACTTGGTTAATCTTCGATTGCATAGGTACCGCTGTTGACAAAACTGGTCAGGCACTACACTTTACTGTGCTAAATGTGTTTTTTTTTTATGACCTAGATCTTTTTTAACTCTGAAAGGCTGTAACAGGAAATGTCTTTCTGTTACAAATAACTGATATATCTTAACCATGATCGAGTTGTGATACTGACAACTTAATTCAGTAGCTTGAATCCATCAGCACCTGTACAATTTCTCCCTCCCAGCTGCTGCACTATATTGACTTGAATGCTAAGAGATGGTTTCTTAGCCCAGTTATTTTGGTCTAACACTCTGCAAATTAAATTCCTTTTATCTTTAAGCAAATATAGAATTTACAAAGGAAAACCCTGTTTAGGAAATACAACTTTTTACTTGAATTTCTGTTCAGCACACTTGATTCAACTAAATTGGATTAGTAGGATCGGACTGCAGTCAGTTTACTTACATTCATAAGAATAACCGCAATATATTGGCTGTGGCATATTTTTTAAAAGACACTTTATTATATTTGTTTAATTTAATTACTGTGTTTGTTTAATTGAAAGCTTTATTTTTAATGTAGAGAGACTGCTTTCTAAGTGTATAGAAAAACATGCACTACTTATTTTAGTAAAAATCCACACCAGACAACGGAACAAGATCAAAACTAGGTCCCTTGGGAAGATGTTTACAACTGAGATGTTAAGAGATGAGCTAGAATTTCTACTGTTGCTTCTCCAGTGCCTTGGCTTTTAGCTCTTGGTTATACCTGTCAGAAAGAAAGATGATAAATCATTATCAGTCAATGATTTCAATGGGTTAAAATCTTCATCCCCCCATCTCCAAAAAACACAACAGATATGCAAGTTTGAATTAAACAGAAATTTGGGAACATCTTTCGTTTGCTTCAGCATTTAGGAATTCTACATAAAAATGTCCCCCCCTGGTGGCGCAGCAGGTTTAACCGCTGAGCTGCTGAACTTGCTGCCAAAAAGGTTAGCAGTTCGAATCCAGAGAGCAGGGTGAGCTCCTGCTGTTAGCCCCAGCTTCTGCCAATCTAGCAGTTCAAAAACATGCAAATGTGAGTAGATCAATAGGTACCGCTTCTGCAGGAAGGTAACTGCGCTCCATGCAGTCATGCTGGCCACATGACCTTGGAGGTGTCTATGGACAATGCCAGCTCTTCAGCTTAGAAACTGAGATGAGCACCACTCCCCAGAGTCGGACATGACTAGACTTAATGTCAGGAGAAACCTTTACCTTTTATTTTTACATAAAAACAAAGATTGTGATGGTTAATCTTTGGAGAAAGTCAGCGGGTCACTGATTTTCAATGTTATGACAGTACAATCCAAGTACTGGTGGGGGTGTGGAGGGATGGGTGTGCAGGGGATGGCATGTAATTTCATTGAGCAATAGCACAATGACAAATAAAGCTATCTTATTCTATTATATGAAATAGAATTCTGCTCAGGTCCAAATTAACCAAATGTCTGCTGTATTAATGTTATCAAGAAGCAGAGAGAAACAACATAAAGCAGACTTCTTCACACCAGAAGTGACTTGCAGCTTCTCATGTCACTCCTGACACAAAAAAATAAGTCTTCCCAAGATGTTGAGCCTTTAAAGATCTAGGACATTTTATTAAGGTACATATGAAGGTTTACCAGCTGAGAAACCTAAATTTAAAACAAAAATTAAAGCTGTATTTGGTCATTTGTTTTACGATGTTAATTTCTCATATGTGAAAGATGCAACAAAGGAATTTGTGCAAATTTTCTATCATCATGACAGCACCAATTCCTATCTTCATGTTCCTAGCCAAAAGTCCACCAAATTAGTCTCTTGCAGAAACAATCGAATCTCATAATTCCAGGCCACTTTTCCACACGACTGGCTACAGGAAAGTGATGGATGCCTTGATTCCTTATATCTTGAGATACTGCTGATAAAGGAGGAAGGAAGCAGCAGGGATGTTTACCACAAAGAACATTACTGAATCAGAGACAGCCAGAACAGACTCCAAAGCTTGTGTTTCCCACTGCACAAGTACATTTTTGATAGAGCTGCCATTTTACGGTAAGGCTTAAAGACATAACCAAATATCAAAGCTAGGACTGTGGTCCTAGTAATCCAATAAAGAGACGTTGCCAAAATCTTCCTTTGAGGTAATAATTGAATACTCAATTATCTTTCTCACCATCTTTTCAATGTAATAAAAAGTATCTTCTGAAATTGATCCAGGCAGTATTAAAACCAACTAGTTATATCAAGAAAATCCGGCAACCCTAAAGTGGAGGCAGGGGCTCAACCTGAGGAACAGATCCTGGAATAAACCACAGCTCAAGCCTTCCTATCCGCTTGTAATACCTACCTCCATATACGGTAGAGTTGAGAACCACCAGCGCAGCCAACAAAGAAGTTAACAGTAAACAGACCCCAGTTTTTAGGAATAATAACTAGAGAATATCTTGACCAGATAAGGCCTGTTGGATGATAAAGAAAGAAACATGGTTAACACTTAAAGGACTTAGACCGATTGTGTCAGATTTTCATACGAGAAGTTGTATGTTGTATCTAGATGTGTTCAATTGCATTCATGTGCATATGCAATTGCATTTGAGTTAATGCTTTTAGGTACAGGCTGTTCCTGGATTATGAATAAGATAGGTTCTGTAGGTTTGTTCTTAAGATGTATTTGTAATTTGGAATAGGTACATGTTTTAAATACAACTTCAGCCATTTAAATATATATATATATTGGATAACATAGGGAAGGGTTAACATTTGCTTTGTTGTCTGTGCCCCTGTTTAGAAGATCTCACCTCACTTTTTGTCTCTGTGATAATTGCATTTTCAAAAAATTGGCTTATTTTGGATACAAGAATTGGTGATAAAGCCTCAGTGGAGACACCTTTTCCCATGATAACTCTTTCAAAAGTAAAGTTTCTAAAAAATTCCTACTATCCTATACCTAAATGTTCTCCCACTTTCCTTGTAAACCTTTCTCTTTTAGGTATATGTAAAACTTAATAAAATTATTGGAAAAAAAGTAAAACAAGCCCTAGTAAAATCTCTGAGGCATGTCTCCACAAGTGCTGTATAATGGACTTGGGAATGCAGGCAAGGCTTTCCTATTGTTCAAATAGGGTCTAGGAAAATGCCATGTTATTGAAGAGTTTTATAATGAAGAAGCTTTCTTCATACTGCAACTAGTAGACGGTTAAACAGAAGGGAACCAATGATTGAAAGAGACTAACATCTGCAGGCAGAAATCTGGGCCATTATTTGCTGAACTGTTTGGGGATGCTACAACAATACATCAAGCCACACTTCAACAAAATGCAGTTTAGCATGTACTATGCACCATGTCCAAAATTGTTTTGTTTTTATTTTGTAATTCATCCTCATTCAAACTTTTTATATAATTAGTGTATAGTTCTTAGAGTAATGTCTCACCAGTTGAAACAGAACCATTTCAAAAGGTCCTCTCAGAGGCAGAAAAGGTAGTGCTTACAGTACTTAAGTTTCTTTATTTATTTTATTTAAAACATTTATATTCCGCCCTTTTCACCCCGAAGGGGACTCAGGGCGGAGCACAGCATATACAAGGCAAACATTCAATGCCAGGACACAAATTCACATACAATACATAAATATTTTAAAAAGTTCTCAACACTGTATGTTTATAACGGCAATTGCATGGTTTCTAGAAAATGTTTCCAAATTCAGTTCTGTCTTTTAGTTCTGATTTTACTGTTTATAGCTGATAATGTAGAAAATGAGAAAATACATACCTGTAGCCATTAAGACTGCAGATTGTGATGTGCTGAGTTTTTCTGCTGGCCTGGTCATATCAGCCATCCCAGCACATACCAAACCCTATAGAAGGGGGAAAGCAGAACACTTTAGTATTTTGTACAGTTTAAATTGGATATATGAAAAAGAGGTTGTCAATTATGTCAGTATTTCAAGCTTCAAGGTGGCTTGTAAGACAGACTTGTGTCTAACAAGAGGCAATACAATTAGCTTCTTAAAGCACAGTGAGAGCTGTAACAGTGGTATCTGAAGGCCACACCTGTCTCATCATCAACTACTATGCCAATTCATGTACACTGTACTTGTAGACTTTTTCAAAGATGTTCTAGGGTTTTAAAAAGCATCCACTTGACACTTTCACATTTAAATAATTGCAGCATCTGGATGCCTCTAGAAGCCTGATTTTCCTTTTCTTTTAAATGAGGGGTCAGTATATAAAAATTTAGAGGGACACAGGCAATCTGAAGACCACATGATAAAAATACCATGATTACACATTACCATTAAAAGAAACGAGAGGTAACACTCATTTCCGATACCAATGTAACTTCAGAGGTGGCTAGATGCATTCTCTTGGACCATTAAGCAGGCCTGCTGCCCAGCTTATTATTTAAAATAGCCAACTCCAGTATTTGAAGCACAGATGCAAAGAAATGGAGATAAGACATGCAATGTGAAAATCAAACTATTCGTCTCTCAATTAAAATGGTCACTACAGGAGACTGACTAGAAAGAGGTGTTCTTAAATAACATTTGCCCTTGGGTTGTAATCATGTTTAGTAGAAGGTATTATTAATAGAGATACAGCAGGCCCTTGGTTTCCCCTGGGTTTTGGTTCCAGGATTTGACATGGATACTAAAATCCATGGATGTTCAACGTCTCATACAATGGTGTAATAAAATGGAGTCCCTTATATAAAATGGCAAACAACTCAAATGAATGCCAGAAAGAGTCTGAAGAACTGTGAAAGTTACACAACAGCATATGCCCTCACATCAGCATAGTACTCAAGCATGGAAAAACCAAGGTTTCTTTTTAGAGTTACCCCCCTGAATATTTTAAAGCCGTGTTTCATTGAACCTGTGGATGGATAGGGAGAGTTCAATGAGCTGACTTTCGTAAGCTGTCACTTTCAAAACTTGGCTAAATAAATGGTTACATCTTGCATTACAAGTAACTGTCTTGTATTATCTATATGAGACTATAGAATTCAAACAATACACTAAATCAAATATTTTAGTTACTTCATAGAGGGCAAATTCATTGTTGGTCTATGTAGAGAAGTGTTTATTATAAAGGGTTTATTGTACTGTGTTTAAACTGTATTTATGTTTTACATGCTGTAGAGAAGTGTTCATTATACTGTGTTTCAAACTGTGTTTAGGCTTTACATTGTGGCCAGGGCCTAG